CAGGTGTAGGTATTTGCCTTAATTATTAGCGCACCGCTCCATCCCCAAACTCCTCACCCCCTCGAACAGCACAGCCGTGCGTGCTTTGCAAATGCAGCAGCTCCCTGCTCCAGTCACACTCCACTGACTTCCCCTCCTGCCAGCTGCCGCAGGACATCCCTTCCTCGCCCTGCCGAGGAACTTCCCTGCCTGCAGAGGTGCCAAGGGAAAAGTACCACTCGTTAGTATTTTGCATTCATTTGGTTATTGGCTTTGTAAGGGTCAGGCCTGTGTGTGTATGAATCAGGAGCAGTATTTGCAAAGAAACTGGTCTCTGTCTTGATATGAACAAGCAGATGTGAAAGTGTTATAAGTAGGAGATGCAGAACTATGGTAATTATAAAATGTTCTCTACAGGTAGTGATGAAAAGTCCTTCAAAAGGACTGTATATTATCTTCAATCAGAGGTTAATGTACTGACAGCTCTACAACTATGTACGTCTAAAAAAACCCCAAAACTGAAAGTCTTGAGTTATAGAAAATAAGTACTACTGAAGGTGAGGATTTTAAAACGTGTCTCATAGCCCTTCTGTACTCATGACAAGATCTTCTCCTGTTCCTTATTCCTTCTTTTTTTTTTGTGCTGTTACATCAGCTTTCCTTCCTGTTTTAGGTTCACTACAAGTACAGATTTGCCTCATAAGTATTTCCAAGGCTGCTGCAAGTATACATTCCATTTTTACCTTCACTTCTCACTACACCACTGCTTTGTTTGCTCATACCCCAAATTGCTCATATCCCAAATTGCTATGATATCAAAGATTCCTGCTAAAAACCACTTTCTTCTTCTACCTCAGCATCAAGTGTTCTCAAAGTTAGTCTAGCCCAAGTCTCAAGACACCAATAGCTTTGGCCTAGTGATGAGATTAGGAAATACTTTCCTATTAAGTATTAGAAATAGCAACAAATTTACATAACTTGTGGAGATCTCGGAGTTCCTTCTCTCCAGTCATACTTAGCACTCCCATTTTAAGAAAACTACAAGATGTAGTTTACATTGTAAAATTCACATAAACTGAAAGGCAGTTTTTAGATCCTTTAGAGAGATTTCCAGAGCTTTACATGTAAATTCTGCCCCTCTGTTAATAGTCGGAAGGACGTGTATAACAGTGTGGGAAAAATAGTTCTGTAGCTTTTAAAAATAAGATTTCAAAATTAGAATGAAGTCTCCCTAGCCCCTCCATAAAAGTTAAATGTAATAAGAAACATGGTGAGTCATTATGGAGTTCTTTTTTTTCTTGCCTTTTTTGGGGGGGGGGTGGAAAAATGCACAACTCAGTTATACTCTGTATTGTAAGATTGCATAGAGAAAATACTACTGTCACCTACATGTTGCACTGAGTCCTCCTCTTGAATTCCCACCAGAACTGACATTGCTTTCAGAGCAAGTGAGATTAGGCCCTTGGGGTGAAGGGTGAAGGTTTTATTTTGGTGTTAGTGTATTTGTCAAATATAGGAACAAAGTCACAAGTCTCTTTCGTTTATCAAGATAAAATTTTTGGTCCAGGTCAATGATAATAGTTTAATAATCTTGCACAATCTCATTTCATTTTTGTGGTGTGGTTTGGTTTTTTGTTGGGTTTTTTTTGGTTTTTGTTTTGGTTTTGTTTTTTTTAGGTTTTTTGTTTGGTTTTGGTTTTTGGTTGTTTGGGGTTTTTTTGGGGGGTGTTTTTTTTGTTGTTGGTTTTTTTTGGTTGGTTTGTTTTTTTCTGCAAACAATTATACAATATTGGACAGAAAAGGCACTTTTAAGTTTTTAAGCATCAGAAGTACCTTATTTTGAATGTTTTCTGCTTTTTCCCTATACTTTGGCTTAAAGCCAGTGTTTTAATGTTTTCCTGCCACATTCATATTTCATTATTTTTCTGTGAAAAATGTTACATGATACAAATATTCTTCATCAGCTCTGTGTTTTTCACAGTTCTCTTCATCCTGAATGAGGTGGTTTGCTTAACTAACATTGTTTTTCATTAACTGCTTGACAAGAACAGCAATAAGGAAAAATAAAGATGTGAAAGCTGCCTGGTGAAAAGGTATTTAAAAGAAAACTTCGTCCCCTGTCCAAATAGCAGCAAAATTTTCCCCCTTGATAATGTCTTATCTTCCTGCCTGGTTTTGCTATGCACCCCGTTTTGCTCCCCATGCTCAGAGCTCCAGCTTGTTTTCTAGACACATTTAAAAAGTGGTGGTGGTGGGAATTTTAAAAATTTTAAACCTTCCATTGGAAATAAAAGATACTTTTAAGCATCCATAACAAGTAAGTTTTAAAGAATATATTTT